TTTCTTTCTTTCTTTCTTTCTTTCTTTCTTTCTTTCTTTCTTTCTTTTCTCTCTCTCTTTCCCTCTCTCAGACTCATCCCTTTAGATCAGAGGTCACCAAACTTTTGGACCACAGGGACCACCAAAGTCATAATTTTAAATCCCAGAGACACTAATATGAATTTTGACTGACGGTGGCTTTCTGGCGTTGGTGGGAGAGAGAGAGAGAGATCTGATCCAACCTCTCTCTTTCCCTCTCTCTCTCACACACACAGGCAGGGGTGGGATTTAGACCCCTGATCTAAAGCTGTCAAAACTCCAAAAACAGGTCAAATAGCTCTGGGGAGGCCAGTCATAAATTAGGACACTTGCTAAACAACCGGCCATTAAGTGAGGACCACTTGTATTTGGTTTGCCAGTCACCTGGCCACACCTACCCAGTCACATGACCAGCAAGCCACACCACCCAGTCATGTGACCAGCAAGCCACACCTCAAATTAGGGCACACCCACAGAAATTTGAATCCCACCCCTGGGTGGGGGGCACCGAGGATGAATTTGTAGCAGCAAGGGGGCGGTGGACTGAAAAAGTTTGGGAACCATTGTTCTACAGCATATTCAGCAATGGCAAACTCACGAAGTATTTTTCATCCTATATCTATTATAAATATAAGAGCAGCTTTCAGGTTGCAATGAAACAGATCCAGGTAAGGGAACTACTTTAAAATAAAAGTCCACAGAATATTACCAATAATTGTTGGCTGGAGATTTTATTTCCTGTATTTCTTTTCTGGAAATTCTAATTAAATGTATCCGTTTTTGGATTTTATTTCCATATTTATGAGGCTGTACTTTGGGGAAACTGATTTCATCCTCTGGGTTTTTGAAATAATATATAACATTAAACAAACTATAGCTGCAGAGGCATATATTTGTGATGATGATGGCAACGTCATTATAGTTTGCAGCTATCCAATTTCTAACTTAGTTGTTCAAGGACCATGTTATCCAGATACAAGTGCTGCAGAGATCTCACAATTGAAAGGAAAGCACCGTTTCCAATGTATTTTATAGGATTCTTAGACAATTTCAGTTCATTGAGTATAGACAATCCTGTAAGGGCCTCAGTGGAAATTTCTTGCAAAGAATTCTTGTCTAGATGCAGTTTCTCCAGCATCTTGGCCTGCTTCAGAGCCTTAGGAGACAGGTATATAATATGATTTCCTGTTAAGTAAAGACAGCGTAGTTGTTTCATCCCAGCCAGAGCGCTATCAGACAGCTGACTGATTGAATTGTGTTGCAAGTGGAAAGCGAAGAGGTTGAGCAAGTACCTGAAGTCATCCCTGGGCATTTGAGTGAATTTGTTGTAATATAGAAAAAGATAAGCAAGTTGGGTGGTGTCTCTGAAAATACCAGCACCAATGGAAGATATATCATTATTAGGCAGATAAAGATAGATGAGTGTTCTTAGATCCCGAAAAGCACCAGGCTGTAGCACTTTAATCTTACAGTTCTGCAGGTGAAGTGAGGTCAGGTTTTTCAAGCCAAGGAAGGAACCATTTAGTATGGAACGGAGCTCATTGTGTTGCAAGTCCAGAAGTTGAGTGTCGCTAGGAAATCCTTTGGGTATATGCAAGAGATTTTTGTTATCACACTTCCCATGCTGGTAATCTAATAAGCAAATACATTCTTTTGGACATTTTACAGCACCCTCCTCTGGCTTTCTGCTGATTATTGTTGGAAGCAGCTCCTCTTCTAAAGTCTGAAAGGCCGGAGGACCAGAACATACTATGTCAATATGTATTTTTGCCTTGTCAGCCCACTCTTTGAGGGGACGCATGTAGCAGGTACAAAGCATAGAGTTGCCTGTTAAGTTTATTCTTTTATGGCAGACCATTTCTACCAGGGGCTGCAATACCAAAATCTGGTTGTCGTGCAAGTCAAGAGTGTGGAGTAAGGGGCTCCTGACAAAAGCTCTGTCTGAGATCTCCTGAAGGGCCATGTTATCCAAGTAAAGCTATTTGAGATTAGTTATTTCAATGGCCTCCTCATCAATGTAAGTGATGGGATTGTGTCCTAAATCCAGCCGATTTATGCCAGATAGTCTAGACAATGCCTCAGTGGGAAAGAACTGCAATTCATTGTGGTGTAGACTTAGATTTCTGAGTGTTGGTAATCCACCAAAAGTGAATTATGGGACAAATTGATCCACTTGAACATCTGAAGTCCCTGGAAAACCATATCTAGCAGGTAAACCAATAAGTTTTTGGCCAGATTCAATAAATGAAGGAATCCAAGTTGTCCAAAATCTCCTGGCTTTATTTCTTCAATATGATTATTTTCTAAAATGTTGATGGAGGGAAGAGAGGCCATCTAAGGATTTTTGATCGATGAAGGCTATATTGTTAGAAGCCAGATTGAGGTAAACTAGCTGTCCTAATCCCTTGAAAGTTCCTTCCTCAATGTTTTTTATCTTGCATCTCCGAAGGTTCAAATGGGTGAGGTGAAGGTTCAAATGGAATGGACAAAAAGGTTCCTAAAGGAATCACTATAATTTTGTTATCTTGAAGAGCCAACTTTTTAGTAATCTGCGGATTTAGTTTTGGCCCATCATAGTTGTTCCTCAAAGTTTTGTTTTTAATGGAAAATCAGGAAATTATGCTGTCACTCACTGAGACTGCTATGAGATAGATCATTTTTTAAAATGGTTTGTAATTAATCACATTGCCAGGTAGTTGCTGGATATTAGAATTAAAAATTGTTTAAATCTTAATAGATTTTGGAAGCAGACAAACCAACTAATACAAAGCAATTGCAAAATAGATTGAAGTAATTGTTCCGTTTGGTGCCATAGACTCACCTGAGGGATATTAACAGGCAGCTTAGTCAGATTCCTGTCTAAGTAAATGACTTGATGCTTGATGCTATCACAGGTACAGATTTGTGGGCAGTGATCAGCAATCAGACTTTCTGTAATCAAGGCGATCAGGAGAAACTTGGCAGAAGTCCACATCCTGGAAAGCAAAAGACCTGGGAAAAGAAAGCTGTTCATTGGACCACATACAGGTTTTTCCCTACATACAAGGTTGAGCAATAGCAAACTTAAATTTGCTTTCTACACACACAGAACAGCAGTTCGAAGAACTGTGAAAAAGGGAATACATAAGCGATAGAAAAAAGCAAAATCAGGTAACAAACAGCTTTTCTCGCATCTGTATTAGCTGCTATTTTAATATCAATACGTTGATTCCTTGTTACCACTGAAAAAGTATTTTTCAAATTTCCCACATTTTTGCCTTAAATTATAAGCAAAATTGGCAAACATAAAAGCAATGGTGATAATTAAAGGCCAATGGTCAAAAGAAAAAGAAAGACAGAGTTACATTCTAAATGACCATATCTTTTGTTGCAAGGAATTTTGGGAGTTCTGTTTTTTCCCTATAAGTTCTATTAACTGTGTTTCAGTATAATATGTGTAGCTTGATTTTGGTTTGGAGTGTTCTAGGAATCTAGCCAATTGTAGTTTATTTAACAGACTAAGATTCCACACAGGCATGGGTAAGCAGGTGTTTTTCCCCCACTACTAACAATTAGATGTTACAGTTTCCTGCCATCCAAAATTAGGAAATGCTAAATAGCAAAACAACAACTCCTCCTTTACTGAAATCAAGGGAAAAATGCATATCAGGGGCCCTTAGTGCTTGAGCTTAGTTTTTTTTGTTGCAGAGGTTTTATTACCCAAACGATTTTATTTATTTTTATTTGTCAATTGCTTACAAGATGATAGGTATAAGTAAAAACATAGTTATGAATACATGGATACATATAAGAAAAATAAATATATATATATATAAAAGAAACAGTGGGACAGGGACGTAGGCACATTGGTGCGCTTATGCACACCCCCTACAGACCTCTTAGGAAAGGGATGAGGTCAACAGTAGACAGTGTTTGGGTTTGGGGAAGAAACCAGAGTCAGGTAGAGTATTCCAGACATTGGCCACTCTGTTGCTGAAGTTGTATTTCCTGCAATCAAGTTGCGATTAACCTTGAGTTTTTATCTATTGTTTGCTCTTGTGTTGTTATGGTTGAAGTTGAAGTATTCATTGACAGGTAGGACATTGCAATGTATGATTTTATATACTATACTTAGATCGGACCGAAGGTGGCATAGTTCTAGGTTTTCTAGGTCTAGAATTTAGAGTCTGGTGGCATAAGGTATTCTGCAATGAGTAGAGGAGTGGAGAACTTTTCTTGCGAAATATTTCTGGACTTTCTCAACTGTGTTAATATCAGATACGTAATGTGGGTTCCACACTGATAAGCTGTATTCGAGTATTGGTCCAGAAAATGTTTTGTATACTCTAGTTATTAGTGTAATATTACCAGAGAAAAAGGTACGTAAAATTAGGTTAACAACTCTTAATGCCTTTTTGGCTATGTAGTTACAGTGGGCTCTAGCACTGAGGTCATTTGAGATGAGTACTCCAAGATCCTTGACAGAGTTTGGATCATCAACAAGGTCTCTAGGTAATATCATCAGTGTTATCCCAAAGATATTGGATGAATGACCTGTATGATTGAGAATCTCTACAGACTATCATCAATGCTAGTCATCCATATCCTTGTTTGACCCATTCTGCATCATAGATTCAACTAGTAACCTGTAAGTATTGATGCCCTGGCCATCAAATAAGTTTCCTATAATGCACAAGCCTAGCACATTATATTTATTTACTCTATAACCACAGTGAGTGACCCCAGTATATTATATGCCAACATCCACCAATCAACCAATAATTTGTCAATTGAGTTAGCCAGTAGTAGCTGAATGGAAAGAATATCAGTCAATCAATCACTGCTTATTATTTCTGTCTCAAATTGACTAGTACCTAAATTAACTCTCCTGAGCTTCCGGGGTTCTATGAATCAACATCAGCTTTTACCCCTTTTTTCAAAACAAGAAAAATATGTTTCCAGCATCTCCTTTACCTTACAGGAGGTAATGTAATACAGGTGGATATACTCTATATTCTTAATAAGCAACTCTTTAGATTGGACAATGGCAGTGCACTTTCTCAGATCTTGGATGGCAGGCCTACACTTGCATACAATCAACCACAAATTGATGCAGATTCTCACAAGGCTCACAGCAGGATCAATGCTAACATAGGAATCAGATCTTGCAACAACTGTCTTCTTTGCTCCCATCTATACCAATAGCACTATTATAGTTCCCAAAAAGTAGATACACAAAGTTATAGGTAACTTCTCATGGTCTTCCTTTAATGTGATATATGCTATCATCCACCAGCAATGTCCCTTTGAGTGCTACGTAGGATCAGCAAGACAAACAAGATCAATGAACACAAGTTTGATATCAGGATTCAAAACATGGGCAAAGTAATATAAGAGCACTGCAACTTCCAGGACAATGCATGGAAGACCTCAGAATGTGGGTTTTGGAAAAAAAATGGACTTTAACAGCACCATTAATGAAGTGATTGCTGAACTCACATCAAAAAGGCAATCTCAGAAGATCTCAACAAATACAATGTTTTTGTTACTTGTAATCTGTCTCATATGTAAACTGCATAACTACAAACATCCTAGCTTCCCCGCAGCTTCACCCAGATTTAAATCTTACATCGATGTAGTCACTTACGTATCTGATGAAGTGAACTGCAACTCTGTAAAACTTGTGCCTTTTAGGAATTTAAATAATCCTAAACAGCATTTAATAGTTTTTCCTCCAAAGAGGCCATTTTATTTACTTTTTCCTAACTTACCTTTGTTCCACTAGGTTAAAGCCTTTAAAGATAAGGTTAAAATAAAGAAAATGCTGCATCAAAAGCTCTTCCCTACTAGCTCCTAAAGTTATGTGAACTTTCCTGGAGCATTAGCAGAGCTGAATGAGCTCTTGTTCAGCAAGAATATTTTTTCCTCCCTCCAATACACGTCAACAGTTTACTTTGATATCTGTGCAATTATGAAAATGGCACAATTATGTTAGAATCTTTCAGGCTGTCATTCATAGAAGTGTGGAAAGGGAATTTCACGAAGGCAGTAGTGTCACAAAAAACAGGAAAAGCCCAAGGGGAACATCAGGTCAGCCAGAAAACAAACTTACATAGGAAAATGAATCAAATAAAAATTATTAAAGAATCCCTATAGACAAAAGCCTAAGTAATTCAGAAAACTAGGCAAATAGGAAAAGAAAGTTACACAATTCCAGTTAGCAGTAAATGTTACTTTACACATACATTGAAAACATAATTATGAATTGTTCACATTGAAAGTAAATAAATCCATGCGAAGAATATAACTTCACAGTATAACACAGTATAACACAGTATAACTATGTGCCTGAATAAATATTCAACAAGACATAATTCCTTTTTATGTTCATAAACAGTTTTTGAAATTTTGGACTGATTTTCGTTTTAACAGCCCCATTTATTTGGGGGGGGGGGAGCCATATTCATGAGCAAATCCTCCAATATTATTTTCATTTGTGCATTAAAAATGATTAAGATTAGACTAAATTGATAGAAATTGAACTAAATAAACGCGATCTACTATTGCCATGCCTAGATTTTCTAGTTTTTCAGTAAAAGAACTTGACAGATGAAGCTCCTTTCCAGCAAACCTCCTCCCTTCCCCCATCCTGCCTCTAAACTACTTCCTGAGCTAGGAACATGAGATCCTAGCTTCGGAGACAAACAGAAGTATCACGTGACAGATGACCGTGTACGTGGAAAATTAGAAAAGGTGGCTTAATTTGCATACCCATCATACATTGCGCCAAAGTCCTTGTCTATGCAGATGTTTGTCCTTAATTTTAAGGTTTGATTGATATACTTTGCAGGACAACTGTGACAACTTTTCACCTCTTCGTCATGATATTACATTTGGTATTTTAGTTTGATATGAAATTGCTATTCACCATCACAAAATGATCTGCTGAATGTTGCCCCCCTCATAGCAAAGCTTCTCCCCGTTTTTTACAGGATGGCAGTGAAGCTTATGGATCTTATATGGATTGTGCCAGGGAGAATTTTATTTGTGGCTAAGAGGTCTGTAGGGGGCGTGCATAAGCGCACCAACGTGCCTACCGTCCCTGTCCTATTGTTTCTTTTATTTTTCTTTTATTTTTCTTATATGTACTCATTTCATGTATTCATAATTATGTATACACTTTTACTTATTATCTCGTAAACAATTGACAAATAAATAAAAATAAATAATTTTTATTGCGGTAGAGCTACAATAGGCTGTTGGAAAGCGGAGGTCTTTCAGGAAGTTATCTGGATTTGAAGTATTGTTATGCTGGGTGTTCCTACATGATTGTTGCTTAATAGATAAAAATTTCTGCAGAGCAGTATTTTTGGGGGAAATGCAGTTATAGGTGGTTCTTTTCAATTCAAAGGGTATGAGTACCTTGAAGTGTCTTCTGCTTGATAAAAGTTATTTTTAATTTACCATTCATGTTTCCTTAACTAATTTATTTTTCCTATTTTTGTTTTACTATAAAAGACAGGAGAATTCATCAGTTTTTCAAGTCTTTGTTATATTCAGTACAACTTAGGACAACTGAGCCCAAAATTTCTATTACTAAATAAGACAGTTAAGTAAATTTTGCCCCATTTTATGACTTTTCTTGCCACAGTTAAGTGAATCACTGCCGTTGTTAATAATAGTTGTTAAGTGAATCTGGCTTCCCCATTGACTTTCCTTGTCAGGTTGTTTAAGGGAAACTACAACCCTCATAAATATGAACCAGTTGCCAAGCACCTGAAATTTTGATCACAATTTTGATGCTCCCCATGGAGATATGTTAGAAAAGAACATATGTCACTTTTTTTCAGTGTCATAACTTTGGTCACTAAATAAACTGTTGTAAGTCAAGGACTGCCTGTATATTGTTTTTAATTATCAAATTGAATGCAAGCTACAATTCTGGCATCTAGCATCACACATTACAAGGATTAAACAATAAAAATAATAAAAAAT